TGGCAGGTTTTACTATGTAGTTTCTGTCACTACTCTAGTAAAAATTACTATTTATCAATTTCCAGAGACATAGTTTCACATAATGGAGATTCCAAGGTGACCATTCGATAGAACTGGTCAAGTTCTATTTGGAACACCTTTTTGAATAATTGGAACACCTTCTTAAACGAATATGGGAAGGTTTTACTTAGTAGTTACTGTAACTACCCTAGTAAAATTACTATTTATCGATTTCCAGAGACATGGTTTTGGATATTGTAAATTCCAAAGTGGCTAATCGATAGAGCTTGTCGAGTTCTACCTGAAACACTATTAGGTATAGTTGGAACACGCCCTCAAATGAACCTTGGCAGGTTTTACTTATTAGTTACTGTAACTACCCTAGTAAAGTTACTATTTCTCGATTTCCAGAGACATAGTTTCACATATTGGAGATTCCAAGATGACCATTCGATAGAGCTCGTCAAGTTCTATTTGGAACACTTCTTGAAATAGTTGGAACACCCCCTCAAATGAACCTTGGCAGGTTTTACTTTGTAGTTTCTGTAACTACACTAGTAAAAACTCATTATTTCGGGATTTTCAGAGACATGGTTTGGGATATTGTAAATTCCAAAGTGACCAATCGATAGAGCTCGTCGAGTTCTACTTGGACCACTGGTTGGACCACCTGGAACACCCCCTCAAACGAACCTTGGCAGGTTTTAGTCGAATATCGTGCTGACTTCACCTACGTATTATTGACAGCATTAATAACAGTTAAAAGATCACGACGTTGTTCGACATATGTGCTGGTTGACGCACCCATTTTTATTGACGACTTGTTTGTCGATAGACTGGTAATTCTAGAATATAAAATAAATGATTATTTCTTTTCTTTACTGATGTGATATTATCACATCAGAAAACAAAAGAAAATATATATAATCTAATATTATATTAGATCATATATGTTTTCTTTCATTTAACTTTCCGTTTTCATTTAATACCTCGATTGTTGTGATCATACATAGAGAGTGTGCGTCTATAGATGATTCATGCTTATAAAAAATTTATCTGTAAGTGCTCCCGAGTAGAACAGTGTCCCACATCTGCTTAAATATAAAAGAACTTCATTCTATTTATGATTTGAAATGTCTGCTGAGTAGACTGAATTCATGACATCCAAATGTTTATATTGCCATTGATTTATTACTAAAGGAACAATCTTCGACCTCAATTTTAAGAATATGAGATGACATAGAAGCTCCGAAACGTCGGAAAAATAATTCTATATCTGACAAGTGATTATTTTTAACGTTCATCAAAAAAATAAACAACTATCTCTCTGTTCTTCCATTATCTATTCATATATTTATTGAACTTTTGTTCTGTGAAAACGTTCACTTTCGCTCTGACAATACCCATTCCTCATTTCGTATCGTCTAAATAATCAACAGAAAGTAAATCCTCGGTAATAAAAATAATATTTCTCGGCGAAAAGCAACTACTTAATATTGAAAATAATAAAAGAAACTTCTATATACAACAGTTATTTCGAGATTTTTTCAATTAGTACAGTTAGACTAGAATGAAAAGTAAGTTTTTGTTAAAATATAGTTTTAATTTTTTTTGAAAATTTTTGATCACTATCAACCTTTAGCAATTCCTTATAACCAGATTTTATACAAAAAAGATTTTACAAGACACAAACAGAAAAATAGACATATAGTCACATTATAATAGTAATCATATACATCATCACCTTATACATCATCATCATTATTTATCATAATCATGTACAGGAATGTTGTTAAATTCATTCCACGATCAATATATAAATATAAAATACTCAAGTGGTTTAATTCTACTTTTTTATATCAACAATCTTGAGGTCTGTTGTAACATCTGGTATAAGGTAGTCTTAGAAGATTTATAATGATCGAAAATTTCCAAAAGAAATTAGAATTATATTTCAACAAAAATTACATATACTTACTTTTCATTCAGATTGATTAAGTCTTAAGATTAATCATATAAATATATCAATGAAGTAACCAGACTTAGGCATTGACTAATTGTCCAATGCTAAAAATCTTGATATGTGTGTGTGCTCGACTACCTAATTGGCGTTTTTTTTAATAAATCGTTTCCTATAGTAAGAGAATCAAGTGAGAACTCCTCGTTAACAGGCATCGGTTTTCTTGATGGGAACAACACTGAAGTTCAATAGATTTTTAACTACCTAATATTGTTTATTCTCTGAAAAAATTGACCAGTAAATGCCCCATAACCTACAAATTTCTAGTTACACCAGTGTGAGTAATAAATCACGTATTACTCTTATGAAGTTAATTTTAAATGTTTGTATGTTTTAGATGTCAAAACTTTTAATAGAAAAGGAGGTAAGACGCATCATTTTCTCACTCATAACAACATAATGATGCACTAATTAGTTATTCAAGAATAAAAATCAAGGTTTTTGACAGAAAATACTCAGGTTCATCATTGTATTCTGTTTGTATTGAAAACGATATAATCCTTAACATTTTATTGATCGTACTTAATATCATTAGATGAATAAATTCATACTTCTCATTTTAGAATAAAACAAGAATAAAATACTAGTAATATATATTAATGAGAAATTAAAATTTCTATCTTAACTTACAAATATACTGACTAGTTCACTATTCTTTTAAGTGTATCATATTCTTATGACTGAACTATATTTTCTTCGACATTTCTCTCTTGTATTTAGGCGAACAAGTAAATTAACTGTATAATGATATTCTCTTCTCTCTTAGAAAAGAATTACACACGTTCATCTGTATTACGAAGAAGAACAAGAAGAAGAAAAAAGGAAGAGAAGAAATGTGAACATAGAAAATACATGTACACATTTTCATTTCCATATCTCGCTACTGCAAAATTCAATAAGTGAGCTGAAACGAGTTATTTATCTCATACTTCATTTGTCGTCGTATGGTATACATATAGAAATCGGTAACTAATTATTTTATATAAATCAATTAACTGATACAATAACATATTTTTAGTTTAATAACAAGACTTGTACATTGGAACAAAAATAAAATAATCGAAAATTATTATATTAATGGCGGACGACAAATCACCACTTGTTCGAGACATACTGATTAGTGATGCAATAATGCATAATAGTAATGAAGATAGTTTACCTCACATTGATTTTATGGATACTGATAGTGAGCTAATTTTTTTTGAAATATAGTATTAATATATATTTATATATTTTATAGTTCATACTGATGATGAACCTATTGCGTCTCCATTTGATATATTCTCATTAAATTATATCAAAGAAGATGAAATAATAACTGAAACAATGTTTATTGATCAATGTTTCTCAAATTCCAGTTTTGATCTTCCACACAGTAAATGAAATTAATCATCTCGTTAAAAAAAATCAATCAATATTCTTATATAAATTTTTGTAGCATCTGCAATACTATCATCTTCGCCATCGGTCTATAACAATTTTCCACAACATGATGTTTCAAACTGTTCTGTAAGATAATTAAAATTATTTTTTTTTTCTTCATATTTTAAATATATTAATTATTATATTTTAGATTGCATTTGATTCGTATTATCATTC